GCGGAGTGCGGCAGACCCAGGGGGGGGGGGGGGGCAAAAACAAAAAACAACCCTGGGGGGGCCCTGGCCCCCCCCCCCCGCGACCGCCGAGGGGCCCGGGCCCCGCGCACATGCCGTACATGTGCGTATTGTATGTGTGTGTGCGTGCGCGCGCGCGGTGGCCCAGGCCAGCTGCGGCCCCAGCCATGGCAAGATGCGCCCACCGCCCCCCCCCCGCACCCTCTCTCGCCCGGTTCCCCTGGCCAGGGCGCACAGCTGCACGGCGCGCTCCCCCGGGGAGGCGTGCACAATGCGCACTCCCCAGAATTTCCACCCCCAAAATAAAGGAAAACACAACGAACAAGCCACAAAATGAGCCCCCCTCACCCCACAACAACCCCAAACCCCCCCACCCCCACCCCCGCCGCGCGCTTGCTCTTTGCTGTCCCTGCCCCCCCTTTCCCCTCCCCCCCCCCTTCCTCCTCCCTCTTCTTCCCCCCTTCCCTCGCCGGCGGATAGAGAGAATGTCTTTCAACGGCTTCTACATCAACCGCACCTCGCTGGACATCCAGGCCGAGCAGTACCGCACCAAGGCCATCGACTGGGATGTATGTGCCCCTCCTCCCCGCCGTTTCCACCCTGCTGCCACGAGTCCCACCTACACAGGCCTCGACGGATCCGCCGTGCTGCTCCCCTCCCCGCCGCACCCGCTCCCATCCAACTGACACCAGCCCCCTCCCCCCATCACCCTCGCCTTCGCCCTCGCCCTTCCGCGTGTTCCTCCCTGTGCCCAGGTCTTCCCGGATGTCGACACCACCATCATCAAGAAGTATGACCAGCTGAACCCGGCCCAGCGCGCCAAGTTCCTGGAGGAGGTGCGCACACGCGCGTTGCACAGGATGCTCCCCCCGGGTCGCCATCGTGCTCTAACCTCCCCATCCCGCTCCTCCCCCCGGCCGGCAGTACTCCACCCCTCTGCTGACCGCCCTCCTTGGCTTCACCACCAAGGGCGTCCAGTACTATGAGGCCATCCTGTACACTCTTCTCCTGATTGAGGACATCGTTGAGCGTGCGTGGCCTCCTCTCCGCATGCTGTGCTTGCGCCTGTCTCGCCGCTCGTTTCCCCTCTGCCCCCCTCCCCCTCTTTCTCGCTCTTTCCGTCTCCCTGGCTCCCCTCCTCCTGGTCTGACGCTCTTCCGGCTCCTCCCCCCGCCCCCTCCTCCACTTCGGCGCATCCCCACGCGCGCAGGCATGCCCAACACCGCCGGCTACTTCATCAAGCTCCAGCAGGAGAACGCCAACCTCCCCTTCGGTGCCCTGCTCCACAAGTGCGCCGGATACACCCGCCCGCATCGCCCCCCCCCCCCCCCCGCCCCCTTCCTGGCCGGCCGGCCGGCCTGCTTGCCCCGCAGCTTCGAGCAGCCCAACGACCAGATCATGCAGAAGGCCTCGCGCCTGATCGCCACCCTGGTCACCTCGCAGGTCCCCATGTCCTCGGAGGACTACTCGCGCTTCCTGAACATCCTCCTGTCGCTGCTGAACCCCGATGCCTCGGGCCACCGCGACGGCTCGTCGATGATCGCCCCGGATCTGCGCCTGGAGATCGTCCTCCAGTCGATCACTCTGCTCCTGCTGAACGACGCCTTCCGCGTGGACTTCTACGAGTACAAGGGTGCCGACAGGTGCGTGGTCCTTTCCTGGCCATCGGCCATGCGCCCTTCCTCTCTGTCTGCCGTCGCGCGGAGGCCTTGCTGACATGCCTCCTCCATGTCCCCCTCCCTCGCCTCGCCTCGCCCTGATGCCCGGCTCCCAGCCTGGTCAAGTTCTTCGATCTTTCTCTCTCGGCCCAGACCCAGTACTACATTATCTTCTGCCTGTGGCTGCTGTGCTTCAACCAGAGCATTGCCCAGAAGATCAAGGAGCTCGGCATCGTCCCGATCCTGACCAACCTCATCAAGTCCACCGTCAAGGAGGGCCACATTCGTGTCATCCTGGCTACCTTCCGTGTACGTGTCCCTCTCTCTCTCTCTCTCTCTCCCAGGGGGGCTCCTTGTCGCGCGTCCGCGCACTTGCGCATCTGTCTCTTGTTCACTCGCGGCGTCATTCACTCACACGCACACACACACACACGTATGTTGCTCATCCCCTCCGTCCTCTCCGTTCCCCCCCCCCCTCCCCCCCGTTCAGAACCTCATCGAGAAGGCCCCCGAGGAGAACATCGGCCCGATGATGGACAACAAGCTGCTCACCGTCTGCAACTCCCTGTCCACCCGCACCTTTACCGATGAGGATGTGGTCGCCGACCTGCAGTTCATCACCGAGGAGCTCAAGAAGAACGACTACGTTCTCAGGTGCGCGGTCTCCCTCCCCCCTCCTTCTCTCTCATCCCCTCTTCCCTTCTCCACACTCGCGAGGGTCTGCCAGGGCGCCACATGCTCGCTCGATGCACCCATACATGCATCTGACTCTGGCCTCCCCCCCCCCCCCCCCCCGATTGCCAGCTCCTTCGAGGAGTTCGCCGCCGAGATCCGCTCCACTCGTCTTGACTGGTCCCCGGCCCACACCTCCGAGACCTTCTGGTCCAACAACATTGAGAACATCAACAGCAACAGCTACGAGCTGATCCGGTGCGCTCAGCCGCCGCCATGTGGCCCGCCGCCACCGCCCACCTGTGCCTCCCTTTGCCCTTTGATTCCCCCCCTTTTCCATGGTCGCTGACGGTCGTCCCCTCCTGCTTTCTTGTGCCCCCCCCCCTCCCTCCCTCCCTCCCTCCCTCCCTCCCCGCAGCCTGCTCCACAGCATCCTCGAGCACTCGAGCGATGACAAGTCCCTGGCCGTCGCCTGCCACTACTTCGGCCAGTATGTCAACGTCTACCCCCGCGGCAAGGATGTCCTCACGCGCCTCGGCAGCAAGGACGTCCTCCTGCGCCACCTGACCCACACCTCGCAGGTGGTCAAGTACGAGGCCCTCCTGGCCCTGCAGAAGTTCATGGTGTCCAACTGGGGCGCCCTCAACGAGCAGGTCGTCGCCCCGGAGGGATCCTCCGCTTCCTTCCGCGCGTGAGAGAAGCACCCGTTCCCCCGGCGTGTGCATGTGCATGTGCATGTGCATGGCTGTGTATGTGTGTGGGTGTGGGTGTGTCTGTGTGTGTGGGTGTGTGTTCGCGTGTGTGCGTGCGTGCGTGCGTGTTGTCGCGTGGTCGCCCGTGCAACTGGGGGGGTCTCCCCGCCCGACGCGCCAGGAAGCGGGGGGTTAGAGCAAAGGGCGAGGCCTTCCTTCTCCCTCCCCCCTCTCCATGTCCTTGTCCCCCTTGCACTTCCTCGTGGCTCCTTCCCCCCGCCCCTCTCCCCCTCCGCCCCTCCCTCCCTCCCTCCCCCACTGTTCGTGTCTCTCCCGACCTTTTGCCATCCAGTCCTTCTCCCTCCCCTCCCCCCCCCCTCTCACACCGGCGACACGCGGTACGGTGCCGTGCTCCTCCCGCGCCCTCGCCTCTCTCCTATACATCTCCCCACTTCTAAATACACAAAATCATAAACACAGGCACCCTTGTCTCTCTCTCTCTCTCTCCCTTTTTCGTGCGAGCGCACCCGCACGCGCGCTCTTCCTTCCCCTGTTTCTGCTCTCTTCCAAGGGGCAGGCCCGGGCGGCGGTCAGTCCGTGCGCCTGGCCAGGCCTCCTCCTGTGCCCCCCCCCCCCCCCCCCCCCAAATGCCGGAATGATGTGTCTCTCCAGGAGACGATGCCGCGCCCTCTTCCACGAAGGTGGGCGCGATCATTGTCAGCGCACCTGAGTATGAGCTCACGTCTGCACCCAGGCGCCCGGACACATTCACAGCACACACGCCGGCACACAATGATGCACAACGCGCGGGGATGGGCTAACGGCAGACACCGAGTGGAAGCTATGGATGCCGCGTGACGTACACGTGATCGCAACGATCGAGACACGACTCCGCCGCCAGCCGACGCTCCGCCTGTTGCCGTCTCCGAGGCCGGCCGAGCCCCGGTGCCGGGCCGCTCCTCGGGGCGCCCGGCCTGGCAAGAGTGAAAGGCTGCGGCGCCTGGCTGGCCTGTGCGTGCCGCACGCGCCGCAGCCCTCTCCCTCTCCTTTGCCTTCTCCTTCCTCCGCCTTTCCGCTCCCCTCGCCCCCCCCCCTCCTCACCCCTGCCTCTCGCCTCATCCTCCACTCCCCTGGCCCCGGCTCCTTGCCTGCCCTTTTCTGACGCCCTGATGTCGGCCTCCGTGGGGGGCCCGCTGGGACGCCCGGGCGACCGCTTCGGCCAGGAGCTGGCCGACCTGCTCCGGCCGCTGGATGGCCATTTCGAGTCGGACCACCACTGCGCCGAGGCCCTGGAGGCCATCACGGCCCAGCTGGCCGAGCGAGTGGACTTCCTGAAGGTGCCTCCATGGGCTTGGCCCCTGCCTCCCCCTGTGCCTTGACTGGATCCCTCTGACCGGGATACCCTCCCCCTGCCACCCCCCCCCCCCCCCTCCCCTCTCTCGCTCTCTTTGGCTCTCTCTCCCTCTCTCTTCCCCTCACACCCCTCCTGCACTCGGCATCCAGAGCGAGCTATTCGACATCGTGTCGCGGCACCATGCCGTGCTCGGCATCGAGATCCACCCGGCCCAGGAGGCCGGGGCTGCTGGGGACATGACCCCGGCCGCGCGGATGGCCAGCGCCGCCGGCGGGGCGCTCGGGTCCGCGCGCGCGGTCGAGTCCCGCGCACTTGTCCTGTCCAAGGCACTGCAAACTCTCTCATGGAAAGCCGACCAGAGCTCATCGGTGCGTTCCGCCTCGCTCCCCCCCCCCCTCCCCCTATTTCGCCCTGGCCTCGCTTCACCGCCCGGGTGGTCTTTCAATCATTGACACGGCGCGCCGCCCTCCGTGCGCTAGCCGGCTATCCTGCGGGTGCCGCGCGCCGCGCGCGCTGCCCGGCTCAAGGCCCGTGCACTCAACTCGGCTGCCGCCATCATCGGCCTGGCGGCACGACTGCACCACCTCCTGGCCGGTGCCTCGACCGCCCTCGGCACCGCCATGTGGGTGGAGTGTGCGCTCTTGTTGAATCGCGTGGTGCGTCGGTTCCGGTCCTCCCGTGCTTGCCTGCTCCTGGCTCGGCCCCCGGGCGGGCTCTCCCCACTTGGCTTCTAACCGTCCTCCTCGGCACTGTCCTCTGTCCCCCGCCCCCCCCCCCCCCCCCCCCCGATTGCCAGCTCCTTC